TTAGCATAGCATAGCATAGCGTAGCATAGCTTATCATAGCATAGCACAGCGCAGCATGACATAGCGCAGCATATCATAGCATAGCATAGCGCAGCATAGCATAGCATAGCATAGCATAGCGCAGCATCGCATGGCATAGCATAGCAACTACTGCTTCTTTCCTAGGGGCTCCAACTTCTAGGTAGGGTCGCACTGGGACAATTTTCTAACACTCCTCCTGTAGAGGGACGGGCCCGACGTGAACCTAGCACCAGCTAGCAAACGGACGGGAGCACCCGGCGTGGGTGGAGCAGTACCCGAGCCCGGGCGCCGTGTCGGCGAGGCAGGCCCCGCCGCGGATCTTGCAGTGTGACCACCTCGCCCACGTCCCGCGGCGCTCCCGTGCCGGCGGCAACGTCTGTCTAACGACGGAGGCCTGGTTCAACCTTCGGGTGTTGCTAGAAGTGCCCCATGGCCCAGGGTGCCCCCAGCTTTTCGCTCCATTTGGGAGCCCCTGGGGCCCTCTGGGCCTCGTGAGGGGTGCTCTGGAGGCCGCCTGGGCCACCCCGAGAATCCTGGGGGTACCTTTATGTCGGGCGTCTCCCCCTACAGAAGGCATCTGTCTACTCGATCCTCCTGGAGACTCGAGTCTGACGACCAGGCCCAGATCGCCGTCCCCAACCATCGGATCGAGGCAGCCAACGGGGTGGCCGACCGAAGGCACCGGGGTCGCCCCGTCTCGGCTCGGACGAGACGGGCCTGGGGGGATCGGAGGCCTGCGAGCACCAGGGCGGGAGGCAGCACGTGCTGGCAGCACCGGGATCAGACAGCTGCTGCGAGGTCTTCGACTGGGCGGATGCGCCGTCCCCGGGCACCCAGGGGCCGAAAACACAGCTGAGAGCCTACGCGGCGTTTCTTTTCATGCCCCGGGGGGCTCCGGGGAGAAGGGCCGGAGAAGAGTGGGGGGCAGGGGGAGGAGGAGGAGGAGGAGGAGGAGGAGGAGGGAGGAGGAGGAGGAGGGAGGAGGAGGAGGAGGAGGAGGAGGAGGAGGAGGAGGAGGAGGAGGGGGAGGGGGAGGAGGAGGAGGAGGAGGAAGCCGTGGAGCATTTGGGGTAATCCTTCCTCGCTCCCCAGACCCCCTCGGGCCATGAAAAAAGTCGAGACCGGATTTTCTTTTCACTATTTTGTGCCTCTGGGGGCCCTCGCGGGGCCCCAGCACCGTCAAGAAACGACGCGAGGTGTTTGCCTGGCCTGCACGGCACGAAGCAGCCCCCTTCCTCCCCAGGTGGTGGGCGAGTCCACCGAGAGGCCGAAAAACAGAGCGACCGGGTGGCCCACACGCTGGCCGACCGAAGGAGCCGGAGCGCAGGAGGCGCGACTCCGTGCCCACTGCAAGAACATCGAGGCCAGGCCAGGAGCGGCAGACGCCGACTCTGAACCAGCCGCAGCAGAGGGGTCCAGACCTCCAGGGGTCCACGCCATGACACAAATCCTGGCGTCGGGGGTCTGGGCCTGCCCGCGCGGGCCAGCCCATCTCTTCCCTCGGTCCCGGGCCCACTCGCGCCGCTCGCTCTCTGCCTCCCCCCCGCCTCTCGGGCGCCCATGGGCCTCGGTCCCCGTCGCCCCCAAAGAGATCTCTCCGCCCGCGTGGCCCCAGAAGATCTCTCTCTTGCCCCGCGGCCCTGCCTGAGCGCCCGTCGCCGTTCGCCCCGGGGGTGCTCCCCGCTCCTCGCCTCAGCCCAGGGCCCCGTGGAGGCCTCGACCTGGTACGGCTTCCTTTCTTTCCTCTGCAGCCCAAGAGAGCGTCCAAAGAGCCCCAAGGCACATCCAGACGGCTCAAGGAAGTCCCAGCAGCCCCCCCAATGGACTCTGCACACAATGAACTCGAGGGCGAGGGTGCGCCGTCCAAGCAGCCGTCGAGAGCCTTGAGATGCCCCAAGACACCCCCGGACGGTCTCAGCATCCTCTTCCTCATGGCGCCCTCGTCCCGCTTCCTGCTGGCCCCCATTTTGCCGGAGGACGAGGCTCGCCGAAGTTCCCCGACGACTTTTCGTGGGACTCTTGGGCTACAGCTAAGAACGGAAATAACGAAACTTTTGGATTAGGACAGGGCTCGCTGTTCCTTAGGCCCGTGGCTATTCCTCAAGCCCTTCTCGTGTACGCGGGCGTTTTTGGGGCCAAAGAAGGGCCTCGTTCCTTATCCAGCGTTCCTTATTCCAGCGGCCCGACTGTAGATGTCTGCCCCGCAGAGTTCTGCTGACTATGCTTCGACTGCGGCGGCCAGGGAGGGCGGTGCCCTTTCCGACGCGCACAGAGGGCAGCAGGGGCTCTCGAGGAGGACTTCGAAGCGATGGCACGTGACGACCCGCTGGCCAGCGCGAGCGGCGGATCGATCGAAGGCGCTTCGTCGCCATCGCTCGGACGTCCATTCCTGATGCATTTTTCGGTTTCGCGCGTGTATTTTTTCGCAAGATGGCCCAACATGCTCCTCGATGGTTCTCGCCGGGGAAAAATACAAACGTCCGAGCGATGCCAAGCTTCGGGAAAGGGGGGTGGGAGTGAGTTTTAGGTTTCGCGCGAAGTGCATGGAGTCTCGCGGGAGGAGCGCCACCTCCCTAGTATTTCTGTTGCGCTCCTTGCGATGCCCAAGTCTCTGCCTCTGCCTCTGCTGCTTCTTCCAACCTTGCAATGGCTGGGTACACGGGTCTCTGAGATGCAGCTGACATGTGCGTTCATGCCACACCACGACTCACCATGACAAACAACATTGCTGGCGAGCGGTGCCATGATAGCTGCCATCGCCATCGCTACCGACCGCTTCCAATACATGGAAGACGGTGGGCACTAGGCATGTAGTTTGCGCCATCTGCAAATACAACATTTACGATTTCAGAGCCGACTGAGTAAACACAGCCAGTGTCGGAATATGCGTTGATCTATCATGCTAGAGTGGGCCGCTCTCCGAACTTGTGTTTACCATGGCCTGCACATATTAATCATGGCAGCGTGCTGATTTCCCTCATCGCAGTCGTCGTCACAATCAACTAATTGAGAGGGCGTCGTGCACCCCTTGCTTAGCCAAGCTCGCTCGCATCCACTTTCAATGCTGCCCTGGCACCTCTCCCAGTATCCAGCACGCCCCTCCTCAGAATCGACGAGCGGGGATCAGCTACCGAGCGGGTCCCTCATGCTGGGCTTGAGCCGCCAGTGTCTGCGCGCGCGCGTGCCTGTGCGGGCAGAATGGTCTTGTCACTCCCAGCTGATGTCACTTGAGCCCGTGGGCCCATCGCTTTGTGCCAATGCCTGCACAAAGTCCATTACGAGCGTCACGGCGATAACGTGCAACACCTGGCATGGCGACAAAGTCACCGAACGCAGCAATCGGGTGCGCGAAGCGCCCCGAATCGGCCTCTCTGGAGCGGCCTCTGCCTGTGCTGGCAATCTTCGTGCTACATGCTCTGAGCGCCTCTTCCCCCTTCGCCTATATCTCCGCGGCCGCTCTCCATCTCTTCCACCTGTACAAAGCCGCCATTCGCCCTTCTGTGACCCGGTCTGTTGCCACACAGCATCTCGCGCCCCGCGTCGCCGCCGACAAAATATTTTTCCGTCGCGGCGCGGCAGAGGCGATCCGCTCGCGCGTCGAGCAACCCGGGCTACGGCATTGCGAATTGCCCGGCACGCAAGAGGAGTCCGCCGACGAGGATGTGCAGTGACCGTCGTCGGAGCAGGCTCTGCTCTGCCTGCCCTCTCGCGGCCCTTCGCTCTCCTTGCTGGGCAGCCAAATGCGAGCCCTGGCCCTGCGGCCAACGAGTCGTGCCGGGAGCGGTTCCCTGGCCGCATTGCAGCTGCTGGGCCCCCACAGGCGTACCCCCGCTGGTCCTAATCGATGGGCTGTACGGGGTACGGTCCGCGCGTGGCCAACTCCAGAAGTCCGGGGTGCTCCAGCGTTGACCTCGACTGGGGTGCATGGTTTCACTTCCCCGAGCTTCGGCCAAACTTCCGCCAGCTTCCGCCAGCAGAGCCGCCCTCGTTCTACTTCATCTGGCTTCCGCCGAGGACGAGGGGTCACCCCCTCGACTTGTCGTGTGGAACGCCCTGTCTGTGGCTGCCCGCCCAAACCTCCGATCGGCTGTGTCTGTGGCTGCCCTCAGTGATGGTGGATGCACAGAAAGGGAGCCGGGGAGAATGGGGGTGAGACAGGTTGGAGGCGGCCAAGTGGTCTGAGCTTGATGGGCATCGAGACAATCGGTCAAGGCGGGGGGAGAAAGGCAACTCCGCCCAGAATCAGTCCCTGGAGGCCTCCTGGGGGCCATCTGGTGCAGCTTTTCACCGTGGATGCGTTTTCAGCGGTCTGGGTGCCCGAAAGCGATTCCTGGAGGCCGAGCAGAGCAAAACACCTCCGCGACTCCCCAGCCTCGAACCTCGCCCCCCCCCACCCCCCCCTCCCTGGTGGTCGGAACCAGTGCTGGGCCCCCTCAGACCCAGACCCCCGACGTCATGATTTTATTCATAGAATCGACCCCCAGAGTTCTCGACCCACTCCCGGGGACCGGTTTCTCCTCCCGAGTCGTTTTTTGACTGCCCCGAGGCCCAGCAAAGGCCCGCAGAGGCCGAAAGGAGCGAAACACCTCGCGCGTGACTTTTGTCACAGCGAAAGGGGGTCTGGGCCCACCCACCCCATTTAACCACTAAGGGTCTTTAGTTTTGGTCCCCCCCCCCTTGACTGGTCCTAAAACCTCCTCCTCCTCTGTCTCCTCCTCCTCTCCTAGGGATCCCACAAAACCCGTACGCGCCCAACCATGTACATGAAGACGGCCTCTCGATCCGCGAGACCGTCCGCGTGATACGAACACTCGCGCAATGCATACTCTCGAAACCGACGTGGATTCGTGTACGTGTACGTCCTTCTTTCGCTCCTGATCTTCCTCTTTCTCCTCCTCCTCCTCCTCCACCACCTCCTCCTCCTCCTCCTCCTCCTCCTCCTCCTCCTCGCGCGCGATTTTTTTCACGGCTCGACGGGGCCTCGGGGCCCCCGGCCGGCTCCAGGAGACCCGGCCCAACCGCTGCGGCGTCCGCGCGCGCCCGGTCGCGCCGCCGCTCCGCGTACGACACCCGCCGGCACGCCCCGGGCTCCGCCGGCCTGCAGGCCGCCTCTCGGGTGCTGCTCACGGGGTGGGGCAGAACCCTGGGATCCTGGCGCTGCGTTTTTTTTTTTTTTTTTTTTTTCTTTCGTTTTTGTTTTTGTTTTTGTGTTTTTGTTTCTTTTCTTCCTTATATGTGTGTATATATATATATATATATGTATGTATGTATGTATGTATGTATGTATGTGTGTATATATATATGTACAATATATACATATATGTACATATATATAGATGTGTATATATATATATATATATATAGACAGACAAGGCGTTCTCACCCAATTGCGGGCCCCACGGCCCTCACAGATCGAGCCCGCTCGAAAAATGACGCAGAAGGATGGGGCCCAAGGCTCCGGGCTTGATTTTTCACGATGCTGCAATTTTTCCGCTACGTTAGATCTCAGGGAACCCGGAAACGTCTTCAGAGCCCCCCAGGAAGGGGTCACATATTATTTTCTCGGCGGCCTTGTTGAAGGACTGGGGTCCCACCAATAGGGGGTAACACATTATTTTTCCGCGGCACCCGCCGCAAAACAACGACGACGACAGCTACACCCGCCGCACGACGACGACGACGACAGCTACGACCAAGGAGGAGGAGGAGGAGGAGGAGGAGGAGAAGGAGGAGGAGGAGGAGGAGGAGGAGGAGGAGGAGGAGAAGATTTTAGGACTAGTCCTATTCACCGCCGAGAGAAAAGGGAGGGGAAACCAAAACTGAAGGCCCTTCGTGGTTAAACGAGTTGGGTGGGTCCAGGCCCCCTCGCGCTGTGACAAAAATCCCGGCGGGATGCTTTTTTCCACTGACTTCGGCCTCCAAGTGCCCTGGCCGGGCCATGGGGCCGTCGCAAAACGACTCAGGATGAGAAACCAGTCCCCAGGGTGAGGGTCCAGACCTCCATGGGGGATCGACGCTGTGAAACAATCACGACGTCGGGGGTCTTGGGGGGGGGGCGTGAACCTCCCGTGCCCCTCTCGGGCCCCCGCGGGCCCCTTTCGGCTACAGGAGGTGCGCCTTTCTTTCCCCGCCCCCCTTCCCTTTGGCTCCGGGAGCGGCGTGAAGGTCTGGCTCGAGATGGGTGATCTCGACGGCTTGCTGGGGCGCCTCGGGTCGAGCTGAGGGGGGCCTCAGGTCGGGCTGGGGCCGCCTCGGGTCGGGCTGGGGGCGCCTCAGCGCCGCGGGTCGAGCTGGGGCCGCCTCGGGTCGAGCTGGGGAGGGCCTCGGGTCGAGCTGGGGGCCGCCTCGGGTCGAGCTCAGGGGGGGGCCTCGGGTCGAGCTGGGGCCGCCTCGGGTCGAGCTCAGGGGGGGGCCTCGGGTCGAGCTGAGGTCGGGCTGGGGGGCCTCCGGCCGAGCTGGGGAGACTCAGGTCGGGCTGGGGCCGCCTCAGGTCGAGCTGGGGGGCCAGGCCCGGCTGGAGGGGCCCCAGGCCCAACGAACCCTGCCCCCCCCCCCTCCCCCTAGGAGCATCGAGGATCGAGGATTATCGAGGATCGAGGAGGATCGAGGAGGATCGAGGCGAATCGAGGATCGAGGAGCATCGAGCATCGAAGAGCATCGAGCCGAGCCTGCGCCGCGGGCGGCCCGCTGGCCGCGGCCAGAGCTTCTGTGAACGAAGCGGGCTCCGCCGGCTCTGGGCGCTCGGCTGTGGGCGGCCGGGCGGCCGCGGCGGCCTGCGGCCCGCGGGCCGCCGAAGCTCTCTCGCCTCACCTCCTCATCCGCCTCCCCCGCCTCTCTTCCCCCTTCTCCTCCTTCATCCCTCCCTCCCTCCCTCCCTTCCGCCCTCCTCCCCCCCTCCCTCCGAGCTTCGGAAGATTAGCAGAATCATCATCCCATCTTGCTCCGCTTAGCGTGCTCTCCTTGCCACCGCCAACAGGCCGGGCTCCTTAGTCAAGTCAGCGGTGTGACCGCGGATTCCAACGTGTGGATTTTCATTTGGGACATATACGGTGCTATTACATTTGCATATTCAGCTCCACCAGCGTGGTGGGCACCTGGTCTGGTGCAGCAGAGCATAATGGATCGCATTTTCGCTGCCTCGGAGAGGTTCGACTGCATCAGGAGCTTGTGCTGTAATGATCGGTACCGGATATGGCTGACATCGCTATACCGCTTGATCCGCCAGGAGTCCCAGGAAGGGGTCCCAGGGGGAGGTCCCAAGGGGGGGTCTCCGGGGGGGGGTCCCGGGGGTTGTGGCCCCCCTCCCTGGGAAAAGCTTTCCCCTTCGATTTCTCGCCTCCCAGACGCCTTGAGCTCACTTGTGCCGCGGCTTGCACCAACAAGGCCCTGAGACAGCCCAGGCTTGCTCCACGAAGGCCCGAGATACGCGCAAGACTACCTCAGAAGCCCTCAAGACGTCCCAAGAGGGCTCCAAGAGAAGCCGCAGGAGGGCCCCACGGGGCGAGCCCCGAAGACTTTGATATGCTTTTTGTGTGCTTTTCGCGCCCTCGCCTGTTCAGGCTGCCGACGCTCCCAGACGGCCCAGGAAGCTACCAAAATTGCCCGAAAACGGTTCCCGAGGCTGCCGACAGCGCCCGACACCGGCCCAAAACGGCCCCAATACCGCCCAAGAGGCCCCCAGGACGGCCGAGTAAGGTCCCAAGAGGCTCCCGAGAGAGGGAGCACCAGTTGACATGTCGAGGCTCCCGCCCCAAGAGGCTCCCACGAGGCCCCGAAGAGGCGCCCCGAGAGGCTCCCAGGAGGCCCAAGAGAGCCCCGATGACCGAAAATTCCAGCCTTCAGCCCCAAGAGTCCCCCATGGGGGCTCCAA